CCTACAAGAAGACTGGAAGAGGGGAGGAGGTTAAGCTGTACCACATTGGTTCTCATTTCCTTGAAAACCCAGTGATCCAAATGAAATATTCATTGAAACTGGGTCTGTCTGTTTACCATCCATCCATCCATCCATCCATCCATCCATCTATCTATCCATCCTATCCTATCCAGTCTTTTTGATACAATATATTCATATCTATCTACCTACCTACCTACCTACCTACCTACCTACCTACCTACCTACCTATCGATCCAAATGAAGATATTCCTGGAAACTGGGTTTTCAAGGAAATCAGAACCAACGTGGTATAGCTTAACCTCCTCCTCTCTTCAAGGCCTCTTATATATTGGCTTATATATTGGCTCAGTCCTGTGAACCTTCTCCACATATTTCAGCATTTTTCCCAAGGAAAACAGTGCTTCTTTTTCCCTATCCATCCTACTTTTTACAAATAAGTCTTGATTTCCGACCACAATTGCGAGTGGAATTTGTAATGTAAGTCATTGCAGTCCTAAATTTGAGTCAGCATATGACCGGATCCAATTTTACAACAATTTTACCATTGTCATAAGTCAAGTCATGTGAATAGTGGTTTTTTTTTTTGCCAGAAATGATTATGTGAGAGTAGGATGATGCGACTGGTGGTAAAAGCCGAATTGCAAACACATGGCAGTTGTAAATTAGAATTAGGTTGTGAATTCAAATTGTTGTTAACGAATGGGCATAGGTCAAGGACTGGGAAAGTCCTCTTAAGAATCGTGTCTGGTATTTTATATAGCTTTGTGGCAGAGGGAAGATTTGATTTAGTATTAAGGTATCTTTCCAATCGTCGTTTTAAGATTCTTGCTTTGTTATGGCCAAGGATTGGCTTGCTGAGAGCATCCAATCCTTAAGATTTTGGACAACAGCAGATTGGAGAAGATAATCCATTGGACACTCCAAGATGGATGGATTTCCCCAACTTCAGTGTTTGATTGGCATGCAGTTCCCTAAACCCTGGAGAACATCACGTTGGAGAAGACCATTTGTGATACACCGCAAGGTGGATTTTCTCAACCTCAGTGCACAAAACGGATGGGCTTCTCCAATGTGACGAGGTCTTCAGAACACCAAGTTGAGCAACACCAGGCTAGACCATTCTTAGTGTTGTGGCCTGTCGGGTGCCTCCAGCAGCCGAATCAAAGGAGGACGAGTCGTGGGAGTCAGAGTCAGCATCAAGGAAACCTGGGTGCTCTGAGGGGGAAGAGGAAATGGAGGTGTCAGAGAGAGAGGGGAGGGGGGGAGGGAGACAGACAGACAGACAGAGGCGGAGCCTGAGCCGTCCATCAGCCCTCAGATGGAGAGTCAACAACCCCCAGGTCTGGGAGTAGCTGATTAGGAAGAGGAACAGCTGGGCCCAGTGCCTGACGTGCAGAAGGCAGAGGAGAGGAGAGCAGTGAAAATCTATGGGCCAGACAAGAGCCACCACTGCTAGCGAAGCCCCACCCTAACTCTGGGGACAAAAGGCAGGGGGTGAAGATGAACAGACGTGGCAGAAAACAATCTTGGAGTTAACTTCAGAGGGTTTGTCGTGTTTTGGAGCTGAGTCAGGACACTTGGGCTCTGAAGTTTTCAGAATTATCTGCCAGGATTCCTGCAATTCAGATGCTTCACCCACCCCCTCGTTTCTCCTTCAGTGGAAGCCTTCGAGGAGGTCTCCGACAGCCTCTGCGTCCCACAGTACAACATGCACGGCGAGGAAAGGGTGGTCCTTTTCTTGAAGATGGGCACCAACCACGAGTTCAGACCCGATTTGGTGAAGCGAATCAGGGAAGCGATTCGGGTGGCCCTTTCCGCTCGGCACGTGCCCAGTCTGATTCTGGAAACGGGCGGCATTCCGGTATGTTCTTAATTTTTTCTGACCAAGGAAGGGAGGAATAGGAAAAAAAGAAAGGATGGAGGGAAGGAATAGGAAAACAGGATGGATGGGAGGGAGGAAGAAAGGAAGAAGGAAGGAAGGAACAGGAAAAAAAGGATGCATGAAAGGAAGGAATAGGAAAAAAGGAAGGAAAGAAGGAAGGAAGGAAGAAGAAGGAAGGAATAGGAAAAAGATGCATGAAAGGAAGGAATAGGAAAAAAGAAAGGAAGGGAGGAATAGGAAAAAAGAAAGGATGGATAGATGGAAGGAAGGAATAGGGAAAAAGGATGGATGGAAGGGAGGGAGGGAGGGAGAAAGGAAGAAGGAGAAGAGGGAAGGAAGGAATAGGAAAAAAGGATGGATAGAAGGGAGGAATAGGAAAAAAGAAAGGATGGAAGGAAGGAATAGGAAAAAGGATGGATGGGAGGGAGAAAGGAAGGAAGAAGAAGGAAGGAATAGGAAAAAAGGATGCATGAAAGGAAAGAATAGGAAAAAAGAAAGGAAAGAAGGAATAGAAAAAAAGAAAGGATGGATAGATAGATGGAAGGAAGGAATAGGAAAAAGGATGGATGGGAGGGAGAAAGGAAGGAAGA